ATAATTCACACTAAATGATATATGGGAGTTCAATAGTATAAAATTTATGTTATATGTTTTCTTCTTAAACTATTTATTGTTCTCAAACAATTTTTTAATAAGCTAATTAGCTTTAGTGGTATAACCAAACTTCTTTTAGTGGTATAACCAAGCTTCTTACAATTTCATAAATAATAATAATAATAATAATAATAATAATAATAATAATAATATAGTCAAGATCCCTCAAATTTATTAATGTTCAATTTTACTGCTGAAAATAATTTTAAAATATGATACGATTATATAAATCATAATTTAATGTTATATACATGCATATAATTTATAATAACTTAAATATAAATTATGATAAATTAAACATCTGTGCGTGTGCACAAGATCAAATACTAGTTATTACAATAATCCACCCTATCCCATTAATGATAAAATATTTACTTGGACTTTTTTTGGGTTAATTATGATAAAAATGTTACATATTATATTAATTGACTAATAATAATATTTTTATTTTATTAGATAATTTTTATTATTAAAATTAATAATTATATTTTATACTATGTGATATATGGAAGTTACATAAGCATAAAATTATATTGTAAAAACTTTTTTTCAAGTTATTATTCTAAAATTAATATTATATTTTTTTATCTCATTAAGCTATTTTTTTAAATACATTATTTTATTTTAATGTCATAGTCTAATTCCTTAAAATCGCATATGCAATTGTTATAACAATTTAATATTTTTTTTAGCTAATTATTTGGTCTTGATCCCTAAAATTATAAAATCACATTATTTATTATATTTTATGCCATAGATATAGTGATTCATATGCAATTAAATCGCTATGTACTATTTATTTTAACCAATGATCGATTTTACATACATAATACATTTATTTAACTTATAATTTTAATATTATATGCATAAATATAACTTATAATACTCTATGTTTAAAGTATAATATCATTATATAATTTATAATTTTAAAATTATATGCATACAAATAATTTATAATTTTTTATTTACATTTGTCCAAATGCACAAGGTCGAATACTAGTTGTTATTATTATTATTATTACATTATTCACTCTCTCCCATTAATGATAAAATATTTCCTTTCTCTTTTCTTTTGGTTAATGAAGACAAAATTCGTTACATGTTCTATTAATTGAATAAGAATTATATTTTTTATTGTATCATATAATAGTTATTATTAAAATTTATAATTATATTTTATACTAAATGATATATGAAAGTTACATAAACATAAAAAATTATACTGTCAAAACTTTTTGTAAAATCAATATTATATTTTACACTAAACTATATTATAAAAACTTTTTGTAAAATCAATATTATATTTTTTGTTTGATTATGCGGTTTTTATATTAAATAAATTAATTTATCTTAATGTCATAGTAAAATTTCTTAAAACCACATAAGCAATTTTTATAATAAGTATTAATATTTTTCAGCTAATTAATTGGTAATGATCCCTCAAAACTACAAACAACATTATTTATTACATTTTATGCAAACAATATAGTGATTCATCTGCCATCAAATCGTTATATACTATTTATTTTAACCAATGATCAAATTTAAAACATAATGTCATTATCTAACTTATAATTTTAATATTATATACATAAATATAATTTATAATACTCTGTGTTTGAAATTTGATGTCATTATCTAACGTATAATTTTGATATTATATGCATATAAATAATTTATAATATTTTATTTATATCTGTGCAGATGCAAATGATCAAATACTAGTTGTTTATTAATAATGTTTGAATTTGTTAAATTTTCACGTTCTTTAATTCTAAATATGAACTCTAAAATAAAAATTATAAATCATATATTAAATATTAAATGTTACATATTATAAGTGTAAACGAAAAGATAAAACTTAATATCAATAATCCAAACTATTTTTATACTATTAATATTCATTTATTGTTTTAATTTATACACTTTGTTATTATTCTCATGTATCTCACCAACAACTTACTAATCTATTACTATATAATACGGAGAAGAAAAATTATTTGAGCAATCCGAAAATAATCATTTCGTTTTCCCGCTTAAATATAGTGTTTTTCCCGCTTCTTCAATTCGTAAATTTTTTTTTTTGAATTTTTTCAGCCCATGCAATTAGGTAACCAATCAAATCGAATCTTTTAGCATTCAATTTGGTAAGGTGTTCTAATTTTAGCATTCAAATCCGATTTCACTTCCTTTTTTTATGCCAATCAATCTGATTTTTTTGGTTGTTTCAAAATTTGTTTAGATTTATATTTTTATTTTATTAATATATTTGAAAGAGAATCAATAAATGTTTATCATAACTTTTATTTTAAAAATAAATTTGAATAAGCATACCTTTTACTTTATATGAAATTCAAAATTACATATTTTAATATATTAATAAATGTTTATTATTTATTTTTTCCTTATGTGATATAATAGAAATTCGGTATTAAATTTGTAAATTCAAACATTTCGGTATTTAAACGATTTAAATTTGGGTAAATTTCATTTTATCTTTGGTTTTCATTATCACATCTATATCTATATATATCTAAAAAGGTTGATGTAAAAATCATTTTTAGAAACCTAAAATAAATTAAGTTGACTTTTGACTTTCTATTTATGTAATCTCAATCAAATTTTGAAAAACAATCGTGATAAGGATTATGGAATACGAAATTGATAATTCCGATAATTAAGGCATTAGATATTCCTTTTTTTTAGCAATGGATATACCCTTAACGTGATAAGATATCTACATATGATTGCATATTTTGTTGTTGCATCCCAAAAATCATGGAATTTAATATCTATCCAAATACAATCCATAATTATCTTCAATCACTTTTGGTGAATAAAAACAATATCTTCCATTTTTTTTTCGGTCAATTCAAACGTGCAGAAAAAAAAAATTGTATAAAAGGATATTCACTTCCACCATTACAACTCATCATTCACGAGTTGAGAGAAAAAAAAAATACAGAGAACAATTCTTCACATCGACAATATAATGCTTCCAGGTTGGGGTACACTTGATTCCGTTAACAGAAGAAACAAACCTTTTTTGCGTTTGAGAGCAGTCCGCATTATTGAAACACATCATGAACGGGAGAGTTGGAATGCATTTCATATACTGTTTCATGATGAACAGGTAATATTTACCTTTGTTATTTCAATTTTATATAATTTGAGAAATTATTTTAATTAATATTTATGAATTTGTATCGTAGGGTGCATTCATTAAATGCAAGGTAATATTTACCTTTGTTATTTCAATTTTATATAATTTGAGAAATTATTTTAATTAATATTTATGAATTTGTATCGTAGGGTGCATTCATTAAATGCATAATACGTTATCCGAATATGACAGCATTTCGAGGTAGACTGAACGAAGGCGAGGTGTATTCAATCTCCAACTACAATATTGAATTTAATAGACATTGCATAATTCAGACATTGTATTCAAACCTTTTTTGCGTTTGAGAGCAGTCCGCATTATTGAAACACATCACGAACGGGAGAGCTGGAATGCGTTCCATATACTGTTTCATGATGAACAGGTAATATTTACCTTTGTTATTTCAATTTTATATAATTTGAGAAATTGTTTTAATTAATATTTATGAATTTGTATCGTAGGGTACATTCATTAAATGCATAATACGTTATCCGAATATGACAGCATTTCGAGGTAGACTGAACGAAGGCGAGGTGTATTCAATCTCCAACTACAATATTGAATTAACCGATCTGTTCAGACATTGCATAATTCATGGAATGAAATCCGGATTTTTCTTTTTTTCTCGCGTTTCCTATTTAATATTTGAAACCCCACAGATAAATATTCAAGCGTTTTTAGTTAAAATCTGTTCACGCGTTTCCCAATCTGCACTGATATATCTATTATTGCAAATAAAATTTGTTCACACATATGATTAATTAGGAATCACGTGTTTCACAATCTGCACTGATATATCTATAACAAATTTGCACTGATATATCTATAACAAATTTTCTAATTATTAAAACATGTGCCATATTTTTTGCAATTTAAAAAACAACTATTCCTTATTTTATGCACGCTAATTTGAAAGAGAATCATATATATATATATATAGTTGTGGATTTTAATCATTTTTTTTTTTTTTTTTAAGCGATAATCTGTTCAGGCATTGCATAATTCATGGAATGAAATCCGGATTTTTCTTTTTTCCTCGCGTTTCCTATTTAATATTTGAAACCGCACAGATAAATATTCACGCGTTTTCAGTTAAAATCTGTTCACGCGTTTTCCAATCTGCACTGATATATCTATTACTGCAAATAAAATCGGTTCACACGTACGATTAATTAGGAATCACCCGTGTCACAATCTGCACTGATATATCTCTAACAAATTTGCACTGATATATCTATAACAAATTTTCTAAACAACTATTCCTTATTTCATGCACGCTAATTTGAAGGAGAATCCTATATATATATATATATATATATATAGAATTTGGATCAAATAAGAATGGGGTATAATAAAAGAAATGAGAACAATTGTGCACCACTGGATCTATTAAATCGAGGGCTGAGATACAGTCAACCATTTTTACTCACTGATTGACTATGCGGTGGCATAGTCGTAAATATCTCAATTTTTACGGACAAATTACGATGCTTGAGGGCATTGTTGTCTTTCGTCACACTAGCAGAGGGTAAAGGTCGAATTTTCGGACCCATTAATTGCATTTACATTCTAGGTCAGACATGGGCGAGCTCGTTGGGTAACGGCGACGGTTTCACATCTTTCGAGAGTCGATTGAGCTCAAATTCTCATCGGAATTCAAAGTGAGTTTAAGCGTGCATATACCATACTTTATCTGAAGTTTTGAGGTGATAACATCTATATTTTGTTCATTTTATGTTCGTGGAAAATTCGGAGAGAGATTGACGGACGAGAGAGTATGGGAAATACTCCACAAACGAGGAAAAGAGGTAAGATTCTTCTTCAAGTTCATGTCGATTATGCAGCTTATTAGATGCGTCATTCGCCTGTTTCTGGTAATTATCGCAAAATTTAGTGTAAGTAGTAGGTGTTTCATGTTTGTTTATTTTTTTGTTGTATCAGGAAGTTTCCCGCATATTTACTCGATTTTTATTTTATCTGCTCTAGTACCTCAGCCGATATACAATATTTGCTCATGATTCATTAAA